GTATACTATTTTAATTGGAAAGAAATCTAGTAACAAGCAGTACATTTTTATGATGTAACAAAATACAAGTTCTTAAAGTAATTTAATTAGAAAGAAATCAGTAGCAACCAGTGCCATTTTTACAATACACGATACAAGCCTTTTGAGTAATTTTATAAGATGGTAAAAATATTGTAAACGGGACTAAAAGTACCGTATAAGTGTGAAAATTAGATCATATGAAACTCATGGAACTCTTAAGCACTGAGGAGGAGCTAGTAAACTAATCTAGCTCGAAATGCATCTGTAAAAAACAATAAAAAGAGTTTATAACCTGAATTGGCTGTGAGGTAGTCTACCGGAGAGATTTTTTCGGATTGAAGAGACATTCACTAAATCAGGAATTAAAAACATTTTTCTACCTGATTCAGTATAGAATTTTTTTTTTTAAATTAAAATACTAAAATTATATAGAACTACCACATATTTTTAAACTATGAAAATATGTGGTAGTTTTCAAACATAAAATATATAATTAAAAAATTATATTTAGTTTATATTTTTATTATATATATTTATGAATTTAAATAGTTTGTGAAGTGATATTTTATTTTTAATATTGAAATTTTTGTTTTAAACTATTGTTCAAAAAGTATTACAGTATATGGAATTATGATATATCAATATATTGTCGATATTTATAAACTTTTTATTAATATTTTTTATATTTCATTTCAGTCTAATATTGTGACTACATCAATTGTTGGAAGTTATGCTTTTATTATAGCAATAGATCGTTTTCTTGGCACGGTTTTATCATATATTATACTTAATATTGTTAAACGATTGCTATTCGAAAATTTGAATTTGGCTACAAATATATATCCTTTTCAAAAACAAGGTAATATTTTGAAGTTTTATTATTTAAGTAAAATTTATATTTAATTGTTAATTTTCAAAATTTGAACAATAATTATTACTTTTGAAAAATCAATAACTATTTTAAAATTACTATACTTTTAAAATATGTTGTCAGTATTTTTACTTATTAAATGATTTTATGATCACTATATTATTTCACAAATTTGTTTAATTTTTAAATAATTAACAAAAACAAAGTTTTTAATATATATTCAATATTTAAATGAAATATTTTTTGGGTTGATCTCTCTCTCTCTCTCTCTGCTGCAACTATTTTATCTTTCCAGTCTTTTTTCCTTGTAATTCAAGTGTCTCATTTTTCTCTGGGCTGAGCTTTGTTTGATATTCCTTTAACTTGCTTATTTCACTCATTCACTTCTACTTGCACTTCTTGACTGTCTTCTCAGATTATTATATTGTCTACAAACATTTCCATTTTTATCTTCTCCCAATTTTTTCACTAGTACTACAAACATTCTGTCCATCACCATGACAGACAGAATAATGTCACATCAATATAAATAACAACAATAAAAGCACAGTTGTCATTTTCTCTCATTCTGTTCTTGATCTCAAATCATTCTGTCTTTCCTACTGGAATTCTCATATACAGTAACTTTTACTCAGTAGCATATTAGAGCTGGAACATACCAGTACATCATTCTGGTAGTTATGTCTGTAGTAAAAACACATTTAACATGTATGTACAAAATATAATGTTATAAATATATATAGATAAATGAGTAAAATTATGATTTCTGTCATGAAAAACCAAAATTCTTTCCTTTGTCTAATAATAAGCAAGTCAATCATTGACCTTCGTTATCTGAAGCCATATTGCTTTTCTCTAAAGACTCCCTCTTATTTTATTCTCATTTTTCTCTCCAACACTTTCTCATATACCTTAGCTGACTGACTGATCATCTGTACTGATGAATATGATGAATGAAATAAATGAAATACAAATTCATTAAATAGCTTCATAATTCAGTATATATTTTGAAAAATATCATTATTAAATTATACAAAGCTAAAAAATTTAGCAAAGATTTTTATTTTATAATACAGTAGAACCTCGATTATCTGCCCCCCGATCAACCGACCCCTAGGTTAACCGACCGTCCTAGTTGGCAAATTTCAAATGTCCGCTAGTGATGTGGCGCTACAATATTTGGCTATGTCTTGGCTACTTTAATATTATTTTTACGTGTTTTAGCTGGCAACACTCATTCGACCATGAAAGGGAGCCAGTATTTAAACGAAGCTTAATTTTCTAATTTTTAACGATACAATAGCGACGATTATTATTTTAAAAAATTTTTGTTAGGCTTAACATCGATGAAAATTCAACGCAAAATAGGTTAATAGCGATATACTAATATACTAATTACATGGGATATAATAATATACTACACTAATAATGGATTTTTTCATACTTTTTGGTTATCCGACTTTTCAATTATCCGACCAATCCCAGTCCCCAATTAGGGCGGATAATCGAGGTTCTACTGTAGTCATTTTTGTATCAATAATAAAATTATTTTCAATTAACATATTGTTTATTTCAGATATTATATTAGCTTCAGTATGGGGAGGGCTTGCATTATTTGGAATCTGTTTTCAATATTGTATGACAAGAGAAAGATCATCAATACCACTAATTTCAAGAAATGTTTTTATACAAAGACTAAATCACAACAGAGAATATCCTATGGATGAAGATGAAAGCAGACCATTGTTACATGGTAGATCAAGAGGATATGATAGTGTTAACAGTTAAAATTACTCTGAAAATTTTTTCAATTAAATTGCCTTACAAAGATAATCAATTTTAAGAATAATTATATATTAGTTAATTAATATAAATTCTTAATTATCTTTATAATTACAAACTAGTCTGTATAATTAGGATATAAAAGTTCCAGTGTAAGAGAAATGTAAAATTAAATGTAAATTTGCTGTAAAGTTTATTAATTTTAATTTAGTTTAATTTCTCTCTCAAAAATTTTGATTCACTGTGTTAAAATTTTCACATTTGTTTAACACCTTTCATTTTATTATCTATGAACTTACTGACTTGACAATATAAATTTCAAATAAAATTGTTAGTTATTCAAGTGCATTTGTAGTTAATATTTGAAAATTTAAAATTTTTATCTTATATTCATAAAAGTTTGGAGTTCTAAAATAAAAATGAAAGAAAAAAAATGTCTCATTTCCTGCCTTCTTTGGAAGTTATGAAAGAATCCCATTATATGTTGAATGAATGTCCATTAGTATGAACATAAAAGGAATTAAATAATGGCTTAAATATATTGTAAAATTTGAGTTAAAGTTATCCATTATTTACATTTAGAACTGAAAAATATGAAAGAAAACTTAAAAAAAAAGGATATTGAATATATAGTAGATCCTTAATGTAACAGATTTCTGTCGTAAAGAAATATAGATTGTTTTATTAATTTGTGAATAAAGCACATTAAAAGGTTGGATCAATGAGTATAAATTACTCAATAACTTATAATATTTTATTCATTATACATTTTAGCATTTTAATATGCCTGTACATTGTAAGTTTGTTGTTAATATATTTTTTAAAATACATGTTAATGGATGTTTTTCAATAGAAGACACTCTTCTCCAAATAGTCTGTTAAATCAAGGGCCTACTGTACATGTGATTTCCAAGGAATCTGCACTGTTCACATACTATATCAAAAACTACTTAGAACTACAATTATGTTTTGTTTCCTTTTGTAAAGACAAAAACTATCTATATATTTATTCTTTAGAATCAGATTTATATTGTAAAAATTAGTTTGAAGATGCAACTCTTTTAGTTGATTTTAATTAGATGTAACTAACAAAAAATTTGAAATTGATAAAACGTAAAAATACTGTATAAATTAATAACTAATTTTATAATAGTAAATTGTAAATAGCTTTTTGTATTATATAATCTGTTTAGTATCAAACAATATTTTAAAGATACTTTTTGTTGTCAATTGAATAATGTATAATAAAATAGATTTTCTTGTAGTAGTAGTACTGTAGTTGTAGTAGTTGTAGTTGTAGTAGTTTTTATATTTGTTTTATTCTGTATAATGGACACATGCTTATACTGATTATTTGCTTCAATGCCTACTCCCACAATTTATATATATAATAAATTTATAATGATCTGTGGATGTTTATAACTTTCCATTATTAATTACTAAGTAGCAAGATAGTTTAATTAATGTTAACTTGCTTAAAATTGAAATTTAAAAAAATTTTTAAAAAGCAGACAAATTTATAAAACAAAATCAAAATTAAATTTATTCTAATTTATCTTTTGTGTGAAATAATGCTAAAACAATTTCTATATCAAGCGGCAAAATAAAAGAGTTTCAATTAATTAAAAAAAAATTGTAATTAAGGGTTCAAAATTGCAGGCAAAATTAAATAAAAATTATTATAAAAACAAATATAAATGTCCTTACAAAACCTGCTACATTATAATAAATTAAACCTGAAAATTAACCAAAACTAAAAAACTACATTTCACTATATCTTTAAAATGCAGTCTACTTTTGTCAGTTCTCTAACGTTTTCGGTCTAATTTATAGACCTTCTTCAGGATTGATGTAAAATATTTTAAAAATTTGAACTTTCTCAACGGTAATTCGAACCACGCACGTTCTATAATCTTCAGATATTCGATCGCGCATGTCCATTAGCTCTTTATAATGCCGCCGCTCTCCATGCCGTTGCTATTCTACTTGACTCTCGAAAATTTATATTAAGCCCCTTTTCTCTGTATTTATAAATGTGCCATGCCTCTGCATACTTTAGATGTCGTATATTATCGATCTTTTGTACAATATCCGCCTTGCTCCATTCGATTGTAATCTCTGCAGGATCCGCGATAGCATAATTGGCCAAAGCCGTGATCGGTTGTTTAGATCTTATATTTTTTTCGTGCTCCTTCAATCTTTCTCTTAATGATCTCTTTGTGGCTCCTATATAATATAACTCTTTCTTTAGCCTTTTATCATGCAACGGTATTCTGTACACACCTGGAACTAGCCTCCTGTCTATTGGTGTTTTGTCATTTCTTAGCATTTGGAATATTGTCGTGTTTCTCTTATATGCTATTTTCTTTTTGCTCTCTACTCCTATTTTTCTGTATATGCCACTTAACGGTGCTCTGTATTCNATATCTCACCATGAAAGTTTATTTACAATCATGTACAAAATTTTGTTTTACACTTATTGAGTAAAAGCTCGATCGGTTACAAGCATGCTTCGGTACAGAACATCCACTCGTCGTGCGTAGCGTAGCCGAAAGAGAGAAAAAGAAATATGGCGGACGGCCTGCACATGTTTTTATAGCGCCACCTGGATTTTCAGATGCAGCGCTAGGTTACAATTATATTGGCCCGCCTAAAGTTTTCTTCTTTTCCTTTGGCCCGCTCTTTAAAAAGTTTGCCCATCACTGCCCTATACCATAAAACCACCATCTGCAAACAAGTCTCTTTCCAAGATGTTCATGGAACCGTGAATTTATGGGATTCCTACTCTCTCCAGATTCTAATCCAATAGGAATCATTCTGTAGACCGGGGATGGGCAACCTGTGGCCTGCATTAATATTTTTTACTGCCCATGTTGCATAAAATATGAATAAATATGTGAGGTTTGCCGATTGGGGAGAAAGTGTCATGACAATCGAGAGGTCAGCACTGTCACGTGGGAGTGGAAAAACTTATTGAGACAGGTCCTCCATCACAAACAGTTTATTAAATATATTTCACTTACAACTACTTCGGCATAGGGTATATCCGAAGAGTGAATCAATTCCTAAATAAAGTTCAATCGTTTGGACGATCTTCTCTTTTTCTGGCAAAGATGATGAGAAAAACGTAGGCTCCGGAGCGCACAGCACAACTTGAAGGGGTGATTCTCGTAGCAGGATACACTTGGCGAAACTTGCTGGGACAGGATGGTGAAAACTTCTTCTGGAATGTCAATCAAGTTTCCGTTGTTGAACCGCAGGAAAAATCCAGGAGCGGAGTACACTGAACTAAGAACCAAAAACGTCGCCTTCTTTTTTCGCATGGTTTTTATAAGTTTTTTCTGGGTCCCAGATCGAACATTCCGATAGGTCGATGCCGATCTGCCCCACTCTCTAGTTGGTCCCCCTCCTCATTACGAATTGTAACGAGATCGTAGCCCAGATCGCGGGGTGAGTCAACTCCGACTGACAATTTGATTCCTATCAAAGATGTTCGATCTAAGCACTCAAATTCATCTATTGTTTCATTCTGAGAAATTCGTTTTTTTCTCAGAAATTTCTACAAATACGTCTTTATATGGACATAAAATATTCATTTTGCATTTGATGGTTTCTTTTACAATATAAAATAATAATTATTATTATTAATTTTTTTTCATTCAAAATTAAAAACATTTTCTGTGCATGAATTTCGACCCACTTCTGGAGCTTCACAATATATCAATTTCCCAGCTTAATTAATTAATTAAGGACGTATATAGCAAAAATTCAAACGTTATTTTCTATGTATGTGAATAGTTATTCTGCACAGAATTTAATAAAAATTAAAAGAAGAAACCGACTAACAGATATGTTGAAACTAATTTAAAACTGGCAGTGACTAATATTTAATCAAATATTTCTGATATATTATGTTTACATCAGTTCCAAAAGCTAAAGTATAGCCATTTGTGCACATGAAAAATAACAAAAAGAACACCAAAAACTAATATTTATAGTATTTGCATTGTTAAATATCTATAAATGGGGCTTAAATTATAACTACTGAACCCATGAAAACAATGGATAAGAATACTGCATCCATTCTCCAGTATAATTTGCTTATTTTAATGAATTTAATCTGTCGTCACATTTTAAAAAAAATTTTACATGACAACTTTTATATGGAAATTATGATTCAAAATTGATGTAAGTGTCAAAATATGTTGGCAGGGTAATTATGGGTGTGCAAGCAAAAATTAATTTTTCATTACACCATTAGATGCATTCCTTTTTAAATAAAAATTTCAGTTTTAAACTGATTTCTATTCTAAATTAGAAATTTACTAGTTATTATTTACATTTACTGGTAATTTAATTACAAGATTTTCACCAACTTACATTTTGATTAAAATACACTTAGAAAGTCATAAGATGTTATGCAATAGTTAAATAAAAATTGAATAACAGCAGCTTTTATGTTTACAGTAATTAATTTGAATTATATCAAAACAAAATTTATCGACAAAATTAACAATAGTGGCATTTAATATTTAAAACAACAATACAGATTGATTATAGAATTTTCCGGTAACATTAAATGCAAGATGGAAATCTGAGTATCAATTTTTTTGTTAACTTTTTAATACATTGTCTATATGCTCTTTGGGGATATAATTGTCATACTATGCAGCGTTTTAAAAAATTACCACACATGCCGACATACAGTATAAGGGACATTATTTTTGTAGAAGCACATCTTTTATATTTCTTTTTTTATAGCAAAAATAAAAATAATAGTCTCTGGAATATTTTAAAAATTTTCTTATTTTTTAAAATTAAGTTTGGACATCATAAATGAGTTTTAAAATGTTTTAAGTGATTTTAGAAGGAAGAATGTTGTGCCAGTTCGGGTCTTTTGAAATTTTGTATACTATTAAGGTTTCTCTAATGGGATTGCTGCTGTTTTTTAACCGGGAAATCCCGCATATTTCTTAAAGTTCACTTTTTTCTTTTTTTGTGTTAAGACTGAGGAAATTCTGAGGAAATAGAAAGTATAATTAACTCATAAACTGTCAGAATGCATTTGTATTTATTAATCAATTTTAAGCCTGCTTGTTATGGCATGTCACAGATTGTCAATAATCAATATGTAGCCTATTTGTGGCAAAACTCTGAAAATTCTCTACTTGTCAGAACCTGTAATATCTTGAATAATTGCACTGATGCTGTCTTAATTTTTAACCATGCCCAATAGCTTCAACAACTGCATAACATCAGATTGTGCAAATTGGGCAAGGATACAAATGAGTACAAAATATGCAAGTATGAAGTTTTTCTTCATAAACCTGATTATTAAAGCCAAATGAACTGCCAAATTATCGTGCTATTAAAGCAGCCGAGGTAGACAAATCAAGAATACTAGAGTGCAAAAGTAGTACTGTAACACATCACAAAAACAAACTAGAAATCTTCCATGCTACATAACATCTGTCTTCTCTTAAATGCATTAAACATGATTCCACCACATCAATTAAATCAGAAAGAGCATTCTTGGTAGCAGGACTTTTCATTACTAAAATGAGAACCAGATCGCATGATTGGAGTATTGACCATCTTTGCTTTTTAAAATCTTCT